TCGGGGGGCCTCGGGGGCTCGCAGCCTCCCTGGGAGACGGATGGGTGTTGCCTCGGGGAGGAAGGTAGCGACTGCGCGGGTGATGGACGGGGAGGCCCGCGGTGCCAGGGCTGCGCCGCAGAGCCCAGTCCGGGACTTAGCCTCGTTTGGGCTTCGGCGTGCTTTAAACCCTCTTCTTTGGCAGCTGAGGATGCTGGCTGAAGAGTAATTTCCTGGTGTGCTGTCGTGGTTTGCTGAGATGCTGAGTTTCTTCGTGTCGCCACCAAAGCTGCGTGTCTCAGTCATCTGGATTATTTTCCAAGGTCCGGTTATCTCTCTGCCCCCAAACCTCTTTCTCTCCTGGCAGTTTCTTTCTTTGGCAGAAACTTGGCAGTGCCGTAAGGGAGCAGGAGAAAGCTGAGGGCCAGGAGTGTTGCAGACGTTGTGGATGTTGCCCTGCAAGCCGAAGGTGTGCTGCTGCCTCCCGCGGCGTGCATGTGCACGCGTACCTGGGTTGAGGCAGCTGGGAACTTGCCTGCACCCATCAGGAGTTAATCCTAGAGGTGGGAAAGCCCGGGCTGAAGGAGGAGGTGATCGGGAGCCTAGTCCCAGGTAACCTGCTCGATGAAAGGTGTGTCGGCTGCTGCGAAGGGGAAGGGGCGCACCAAGGGCCTGTGGATGAGCTTTACTCCGCTTTGCAGCTGGCAGGGGTCCCGCCTCTGGATGCCCCTCGCCGCCCCTCAGCCTCCGTCTCCAGGCCTCGGATCTTGTTTCCTCCCCGAGACCTGCTGCTGCTGCGGGCCCAGGAGCAGCGTGTTTCACTGCTCTGCCTGAAGGAAAAGCCTGGCTTTAGGAAATTTTGCGGGAACTCTGTTCTAATGGGCGAGCCACGCTTTTTCCAAGCTCATTTTGCGTCTTGGCAGGAAAGCGTTGGGGTCTTTCCTTCTTCCCCAGAGAGAGCATTGCTCTGGCTTTCTTTACATCGCTCTTTCCATTCAGCCTCTATTTATACCACCCTTAGCTTAAAGGTGACCTCTCGACCTCTCCTCTGAGCTAAAATAAAATTTGAATAGTTTTTCCGAACTCTGGGTAAACACGTACTGCTGTGCGTGGCCAGGAAATGTTGGCCGGGCTCCTCGAGCGTGTCAGCAGCGCAGCGCCGTTCGGTGGATGCGTCTTCCAGGGAGTAAATTCAAACCAGCAGCGGGGCAAGACATTTAACTTGCGCTGGCTGAGCCTGGAGCGCCTCGAATGAGCCTGAGTCCAGAAAACCATTTGGGTGAGTCTTCATTTGGATGTCAGAGTATTTAGTGTAACGGCTGGAGCCGTGTCGCTCCGATCCGCAGCCAGATCCCAGCCTTTCCCGAGGCGCTCGCGTTCGGGTGACTTTTGCTCAAGGAGCCAAGTGTAAAACTTTTTCCAGATCATCTGGAAGTCAGGGTTTGCATTTGGTCCCATCCCTGGTTACCGATATATAATGCAGTTCAGCTGAGCCGTGCTCTCTGGACTACCCCGTCCTCCAAAAACACCAGACCCAGCGTTTCTAAAAACGCTGGAAGGGTCGCGCTGGAGCAGCCACCCACCTCGGGCTGCGGTTTGCAGCGCTGTTCCCTGCTGGGGACAGTTTCGGGTCAAATAAAAGCTGCTGTCGCACGGGAATGCATTGTTGAGCGGTACCCATGGACATCCAGCGTTTCCTATGCGGGATCCTCCCAGCATTGAGCTGCGTTTTCCCCCCGTTCCCGGAGAGCCGGGAAGCAAGGAGCTGAAAACACAAAGGCGCAAGGAGCAAAGGGCTCCTGTAAAAAAAAAA